AAGTGATTTAGGGTCTTTTTTCACACCTAACAACTATTGTAGCATCTCCATAGTCATGTGATCGAAATTCAGATGCTTGGCAGCTGACTTATATTTACGATGGGGTTGCAGTGTCCTGGGGTCATGCGATCCCCTTTTGCGACCTTCTAACAAATAAAGTCAATGGGGAAATTCATATTCACTTAACAACCGTGCTGTTAAGTAACCGTGTTACTAATTTAACAACTGCAAAGTCCACTTAACAACTGTGGCAAGAAAATGAGGCAAAACTCACTTAACAATTGTCTCACTTTGGAACAGGAATTTTTGGGCTCAATTGTGGTCATAAGTCGAGGATTATCTGCATTTGGCCTTGTTATTCATGTAGCACTATCTACATAAAAAATGCAAAGGTGCTATCTGGTTCACGCATGAACAGGTAATCCAATTGGAACCAGAAATTCCACTGCTAACAAGGAGGTTGTTAAGTGAGCCAAGCCAAATTTTATTTTATTTTTTCTGCCACAATTGTTAAGAAAATCACAACAGTTGTTAAGTGAATCTGGATGCCCCCCACATTGACTTTGCTTATCAGAAGCCAGTTGGAAAGATTGCAAATGGTGACTACATGACTCTGGGATGAGGCAACATTGCAAATAGATGATGATGATGACGGAAGGGACCTTGGAGGTCATGTAGTCCAACCGCCTGCTCAGGCAGGAAACCCTATACCATTTCAGACAAGTAGCTGTCCAGTCTCTTCTTAAAAACTTCCAGTGTTGGAGCATTCACCGCTTCTGGAGGCAGGTTGTTCCACTGATTAATTGTTCTAAATATGAGGAAGTTTCTCCTTAATTCTAGGTTCTAGGTATCTACCACCTAGATACCTGATACTAAGCACCCTAATGTTGATCACATGACTGTGAGGATGCTATGATAGTCATAAATGCGAGGACTGATTGGTAAATCACTTTTTTCAGTGCCACTATAACTTTGGAATGTCACTAAACGAATGAAGGTAATTTGAGGCCTGTACATAGCACTTTAAAAAGAATAAAGGATAATAAGGGGATCCACAGTCTAAAGTAGACATATACATCTACAAAAATGAAATAAAGGAAGAAATATAAGCATGGATCAGCTGGAGAGAATGTGATCATTTCAGTTAAAGTAACTTGGCTTGGTTTCAATAAAATATAGAAATTAAAGGCCTTATTTGAACTTTCCCTGAAACTTCAAAGTAAATTTAGAATTAAGGGAAAGGAGGGTATCTGGGAGACAGTTCCAGTCAAAAGAGAGTAAACAAAGATAATTTTGTGTTTCACCCAGGTGATAGCCTGGAGCTTTCTTTGACAATTCCAGAAAGGTTAAGCAGGATCAGTCTTGGTTAATATTTGGATGGGAAATTTTCAAGGATTCAGAGACTGACTGGGAAATCAAAGAAATCTTGAAAAACAATGAGAAATAATCTCTGTATTGCTGCCAAGGTAAATTCTTGAATGGGACAATGAAGTCATCAAAAATTGACTTGGGAAAGATTTAGGTATTTAATTACAGGACATAAAAACACCACCGGACAGCAAAGAGTATGGAACTATCGGTTTGTAGGAGGCCATGTATTATGATAAAACAAAACAAAGCCAAAAATAAGGTCAAGAAGCTTTTGAGCATTTGAGGACAGACAATAAGTCTGCAAAGCAGTTTTAAAAGTAAGTCAGATAGTTAGAACTGCTAGGAAAGTATAGAACAGGTGTAAAGAGGTGAAAATGAGACAAGAGGCCAAAGATAATATACAGTGTGACTTTATCATGTTTAAAGGAGTCATGGATAGAGTGTCTGCAGGGGGCCTCCCCTATTGTACTTTATTTCTCTACTTCCAGGTAGGTACAAGCAGTAGAGCATAGAATTCCATTTTTATTTTGGAAGACAATGTGATCAATTGTCTCTGTTCCCTTCAAGAAACAGGAAGAAAAGTTATTTTCTACTTTATGTTAATATTTTTAAGAGATATACTGCACAAGATACCAGACAACATTTAATCATTTTTATAAAGATTGTCTAGTATGCTGTACAGACCCCGTCCTTTTTTCGTCTTTCTTTCAATGACCCCATCATTCTTTTTTTGAACTATTACCATCTGGCAGACGGTACAGGATAATAAAACAGGATAATAAAAACAAAGACAAATAGGCTGAAAAATAGTTTTTATCCCAGAGCTGTAACCATATTAAATACTACTGTATAGAGCAACATGGAAGTGCAATATTAGGGGCAGCACAATGGTGAATGTGAAGGATGTGTTTATATAATGTATGTTCTTATTTGTGGTTTTTACTTGTGTGTAGTGTGCACTGTGGACAGCACTTAATTTCGTGGTGAGTTACACAATGACAATGTTCTATTCTATTCTACAAAACCTCTTCCAAAACACTGAACCAAGGACCCAGAATATTTTAACACACTGAAAATGATTAGCACAAGCAAGAGAACTTTGCTCCCTAATCTGCTATCTGAAAAGTTAGTCCAAACATGGATGGAATAGTTCTTTGAGAGCTGCAGGGTTGGATTCAATACTTAAGTATTAATACTTGCCCCATCCCTTCTAATATTCGGGTTCCTTTCTAAGAATCTTCAAATACTAAGAGTGAGATTTTACAAAGGCCAACTTAAAAGATAATTCTGGGATCAATTCATGTGCTGTAGCTAAGAATCATCATTGATTTGATGGCTCTTAATCAATGAGTCTCTATTGATTTAGTGTTACTGGTCCTTTTTATCCTGTATGCTGTTAATTTTAATGTTTTTAACTTTTAACATCCAATGTTTTTCTTCAACTCCCATAACTCAAGGCAGGGTATAGTTGCTGTCAAAGGAAAACATGGTGTGATTTTGCAGGCTGACAGGATTATGGGCTTGAAACTTAACCCATCTGAGCTTCTAGATGGAGAACTTTATAAGTGGGGGACGGGGGGGGGGGGGG